TCTTCTCAAAGGAGCACCCCCCCCCCCCCAAACCAGGGCAGTGCCACTGACTGTAGTGTCTTTAGGCCATTCCCAAAGGGGGATATTAAATTATTATGTTCTTATGCGCAGTAGAATTGTAAAAGGACTGATTTATCAATGTAATGCCCATATTGTGGAACAACATAGGAGGAACTGCTGTTTTTTCTTTCCTAATCCTTACTATAGTCATTTTTCCTCTACTTCTTTTGTATGTTTTTCACTCTCTTGTGTACTGCTATTTCCGGGGTGCCTCGATAGTCAAAGTAGACTTTGTGCTGTTGAAGCTAGAGAGAAGAGCAGAGTAAGCCTGATTCCCCGTTTAGACTTCTCTGTTGACATCCACCCCTTGGCGCTCATACGACCTTATGCAGTTGCGAGCGCCGTAAAACCTTACTAAAACAAGAAGTTTTTTTACTAGCTAGTTAGTTTGCTTTTTTTATAAAGTTACAACTAAACAGCCCCCTCCCCCCCAAAAAAAACCCCACAACAAAACAACAACAACAACAACAACAACAACAACAAAAAACAAACCCGGAACGTTCATAATGAGAGCAGGGCGGGAACCAGAATGGTTGAATGTGACTGGAGTTTTGTTGAAGCAAAGAATGCCCCTCCCCCTCATCTTTCGAAGCCCCCACACCCAACTAAAATTCCATTTGAGTTTATAGAAAGAAAGAAAGAAAGAAAGAAAGAAAGAAAGAAAGAAAGAAAGAAAGAAAGAAAGAAAGAAAGAAAGAAAGAAATACTGTAGCTTTTAAGAATTACCCATGAGTAAACTATTGTGCATCTTACACAAAGTGCTTTTGTTTCCTTCATTATAATTACTCATTGGAGCATTTCTTGTCTGTCTACAAAGTCAAAAGGTTACCGCTTCCACTACATGTGCACCCTGAACGAACTGTACTATTACATGTTATGCCGCTGGATTAGTCGAACATATCGATTTCGAGATCGATAGTATGGTCCCCTACCTTCCACACAATATCCGCAGTCTAATGGCGCAAACAAACAACTTTAAGCACCACCATTTGCAACATTTGCTGATATCTGTTGCAAGCTAACAATGGAAAACTACGAAATATGTACACTGGGGAGTATACACCCTACCCTATCAAAGCTAACCCCCCCC